CGTTCCAATGCTCCTTAGTCGGGTTTTGATTAAAACTACTCACGCGGTTTACAGAGAAGGCAATGTCGGGACGTGAGATCTGGCTTAAATATAAGAGACTTCCTACTGCTTCAACATATGGTACTTCCTTCATATCTTGTATTTCTTGTGTAGATAAAGGTTCTTTCGCTGTTTTCAATTTTACATTTGGGTCCATAGGGGTGGATACTGGGTTGCATCCTTCCATTCCAAATTTGTGTAGAATGGCCTCAATGTAATTTGATTGATTGATATATAGCTCTCCTCGTTGCCAGTCTCTCTCGATTGTCATACCTAAGCATTGCTTGACGTCTCCTAAATTTTTCATTTCAAAGTGCTTGTTTAAATGCGTTTTCAATTACTCGTTGCCAGTCTCTCTCGATTGTCATACCTAAGCATTGCTTGACGTCTCCTAAATTTTTCATTTCAAAGTGCTTGTTTAAATGCGTTTTTAATTGCTCTTCTTTTTCAGGATTATTTGAGAATATAAGTAAGTCGTCTACATAGTCTGCTACTATAGGTCTCTTTTTATTTGACTTATCTATATAGACACATGGATCAGCTGTCGATTTTTTCATTCCTATAGCTCGTAGTGCACTGTCAAGTGTTTTGTTCCATGTCCGTCCGCTTTGCTTGAGACCGTATAATGCCCTTTTTAGTTTTAAAATTGTACCGTTCTTATATATATGTTCCATACCTTCTGGACTCTACGAATATATCTTCATCCAATTTTCCATTGAGAGGGGATATACGTACAAGTAAACTGTTAAAAACGAGCCGTTTTTTGCGATTTTTTTTGAGAGAATAAAACAAGCAATCTTCGTCAAACTTGGCATATATTTTAAATTATCATGGAAGATGTTACACAAATTTTTTGGTTAAAAATGTTCCAAAATGGCGGACTTATAAAACATTGATGACAGCGCCTCGAAGACGAGTTGGCGGGCACGATGGAGGTCGTAATTTTTATCTGAAATCAAAAATCCAAAAAGATTTATTAATTTATAAGTTTATCTTCTCTTCTTTTTCAGGATTATTTGAGAATATAAGTAAGTCGTCTACATAGTCTGCTACTATAAGTCTCTTTTTATTTGACTTATCTATATAGACACATGGATCAGCTGTCGATTTTTTCATTCCTATAGCTCGTAGTGCACTGTCAAGTGTTTTGTTCCATGTCCGTCCGCTTTGCTTGAGACCGTATAATGCCCTTTTTAGTTTTAAAATTGTACCGTTCTTATATATATGTTCCATACCTTCTGGACTCTACGAATATATCTTCATCCAATTTTCCATTGAGAGGGGATATACGTACAAGTAAACTGTTAAAAACGAGCCGTTTTTTGCGATTTTTTTTGAGAGAATAAAACAAGCAATCTTCGTCAAACTTGGCATATATTTTAAATTATCATGGAAGATGTTACACAAATTTTTTGATTAAAAATGTTCCAAAATGGCGGACTTATAAAACATTGATGACAGCGCCTCAAAGACGAGTTGGCGGGCACGATGGAGGTCGTAATTTTTATCTGAAATCAAAAATCCAAAAAGATTTATTAATTTATAAGTTTATCTTCTAAGTGAACCTCAAAAACCCAGAAGAAATCGCGAAAAAAAATTTGTATACAGTTTTAAACGAAAAAGTGTGAATTTACGTAAACAATTTTTGTTTTCAACCTGCTGTAAAAAATAGTAAAAATGACTTTTTTTTATCAACAAGTAGGTTCACTTAGAAGAGAATTTAATAGTGAAGAAAATGCGCTTTGTTTGGTTCGGATAGGTTATATACTTTTTTTTTAATCCTGCCCGCCAATTTGAAAAAAATGCAAAAATGAAAACTCGAGAAAAAGCGGTTTAAAGTTTTCGATGTGAATACTATGAGTTATTAGCTACTTACAGCAATTATCGATTAATCGGCTATTCCTGCACCATACAGGAGTCCTTAATTATTACAGATTACGTTTAAGAAAACAATACTATATATAATTATTGTAATTATAAAAGTATCTAATAATAATTTTATGAAATTAAGGTATAATTATTTAAAATAGGGGAGGCAGCACCAATGACCTTGACCTTGACATATATTATCGCTAGGTCTTGATCCTGCGAGTAACCTCCAACAGATTTTAGCCGTCGCTCGTCCTTCGTTAAAAAGTTATTAACAGTCATAGTTTTAAAATAAACGTATTATTTCTGCTATACATGTATTAATTAAGTACTATTCTACACCTTTCCCTGTTCAGAAACGTTAAGCGGATGCTGGAGTGCCTGTTTTATTATCATTACTTAGTTAAAGACTCGTTTCTCTTAATTGCATTTACAGATGGAAAAATCCTTCTGCATAATTAAAGTATCGACAACAATGAATTGCGCTAGCTACATTTCAATACGAAAAACGGAAGAAAATTAAAAACTTACAGTTTCGTTATCGGCTTCTGCAGTCGACTCGACACATTATGTGAGAAGCCGATAACGAAACTGTAAATTTTTTTTCCGTTTTTTGTATTGAAATGTAGCTAGCGCAATTCATTGTTGTCGATACTTTAATTATGCAGAAGGATTTTTCCATCCGTAAATGCAATTAAGAGAAACGAGTCTTTAACTAAGTATAAATAAGTAATAATAAAACAGGCGGGTCCAGCATCACCTTAAACTTTCCACCTCTTTGCAGCGGGGGGAGGGGGGTGAAAGTTACTTCGCGTGGAAAATTTAACGTTTTTGAACAGGGAAAGGTGCAGAATAGTACTTAAGCAAAAATAATACGTTCATTTTAAAACTATGACTGTTAATAACTTTTTAATGGAGGACGAGCGACGGCTAAAACCTGTTGGAAGTTACTCAGGGTCATGACCTTGACAACATATGTCAAGATCAAAGTCATTGGAGGAGGGTCCCCTGATCGAGACATTTACCAAAAAGTAGAAAATGTTTTACAGAACAACTATTGGCAGAAACATATTGAATAACAACAGTTAATTAGTCAATATTTTCGACATCTGGCGTTGAATCTATAATTGTAGAGAAATATTTCGCATTTTTTAATTCATGAACAATACATTTCCTAACATGTTTTCCTAAGATTTCAAAAAATTCATCGCAGATCGTATTTGATAAATATGAAACGTTTCCTTTTTTTGTTTCCATGTTATTATGCAATATGAACCTTCAAAAAAATCGTTGTATTCCGCCAATAATTCCAAAGTCCCAAGAAAATTTCCATTGTAAAAGTTAACAAATTGCTCATTACTACTACGGAAAGCCAATCCACGCAAAGCCAAAAATTTTATCACAGATAAAATTCTTTTTAATACCATATACCAATATTTTTGTTCTTTGTTTAAGTTTGTATTTCGAAATTTGTATCTACACGCCTTTTATAGTTCTAAATCTTGTCAACAAAAATCTAGCCGATTTTTTAATGAGAGAAAGATATTTCATGTTGAGCATAATTCTCTCTTCATGTTTCCAATCTTTAAAAGTGACATATATATGAGTATAAAGTATTTCAGTGAGCAGAACATTAGATTGACATATTTTAATAGTACATTAGTATCGTTCGTTTTGTCTCTCGAGAGCTGTTCAGAGTCGCTCCGAACGAACCTAGCATACTTGGATGCGGTCTATTTAATGTTGTAGATACCTCAAAACATACTTTGATTGATCAATTCGTAAAATTTTTTCTTCTGATTGATCAACGAAGCATTTGCAGTATTAAATAGATCACATCCAAGTACGCTGGGTTTATTTAGAACGACTCCGAGCAGCTCCCGAAAGACAAAACGAACAATACTATTGTGTAACGCGTGGGGGCTATAGTGTTATGGCGCGAAGGGCGCGAAAGCACGAGCGAACCGAGTGTGTTATTCGCACCCGTTCCGCGCTATAAACACTATACCCCCACTATAGTTACTCATAATATTTTTTGTCATGCGTACGCGTGACAAAAAAATTATTACGTTCGGCCATTTGTCTTATGGTGATATAGCATTTATTGTATAATATAACAAAACAAATTATACATTGTCAAAGTAATATTATTCTTACTGGAGTGTCCTACCAGAGAGAAGCCTGAAGAGCGGCCATGCCCGGGATTTAGCTGTTACTTTATTTTGAAAAGCGCCTCTGTCCACAAATCGTGGACATTGCAATGTCCACGATTTTTGGTTCGAATTTTCCCTATGTCCATGATTTTTGGTTCGAATCTTCCCTATGTCCATGATTTTTGTGGTTCGAATCTTCCCTATGTCCATAATTTTTGGTTCGAATCTTCCCTATGTCCATGATTTTTGTGGTTCGAATCTTCCCTATGTCCATAATTTTTGGTTCGAATCTTCCCTATGTCCATGATTTTTGGTTCGAATCTTCCCTATGTCCATAATTTTTGGTTCGAATCTTCCCTATGTCCATGATTTTTGGTTCGAATCTTCCCTATGTCCATGATTATCGGCCCGTTAGACAAACAAAGACAGACAATCAATCGATTGAATACAACATAATATTAATGCTACTAATTTTTATTTAATTTAAAAAAATATCAACTTTCCAAGAATAAACAGCATTCATTACGGATGTAAATTACGTATTAATTACTAATTATTTTCTAATTCATTTCTGATTTTATTAATTTACAAATTAAAAGTGTTATTAATTAAGTAATTAATAATTACAAGAATGTCCCACTCTGTTGAATTTATTATAATCATTTAATTTTATTATTAAGAATTACTGGTTTCCAATATTAATTGCAGTTTAGTTAATATATATGTACGAATTGTGACATCACAAATTTATACTTATCACTCATCATTGCCATAAAATCCTTTCGCTTATTTTAATGTATTGACGTTACCATGATTTACTTCACTTTTAACCATTCAGATTTGCCGCGTAATGATGACGTAATGATGACGTAAGCTGGCTGCAATTCTTATTGGTTGTCTGGAGCTACCATCATGGTTCAGTTCTATGGACCTGTGTGACACAAATGTCGTAGTGATCTTGAATATGTTATGCACAGCTAATACGTAAAATTTTGTAAAGTAATTATGTCGTATCTAACAGGAGGTAGACTAAATGTCGGACTTATTCAGGAACAGGCGAGGAACCGATTGCTTTGTCTACTGGAAAAATGCGATGGCCCAAAGGTACTCTGACTTAACCTTCTCTAAGGAGATCAAAACAAATTAATTACCAATATGTTTCTACCATATATTTTTCCTTTATTGTACAGGCTATTATATGGGATCAGTCATTAGCCGGACCGATTGGTCTGGTCGCTAAGTATAATTTATTAGAAGAGTACGGTGTTGTGAAAATGTATCCATTATATGGTGGAACTTTGACAATACCATCTAACATTGCCAATGTCATATTTATTTCGAGGCCACAGTTGGAGCTTATGGATCTAATTGCCGAAAATGTTCACGGGTTGGTGTACAGCAAATATATCATCAAATAGAATAGGATTTAAACCTTTTTTCTGCTATTTGGATCTCTTTGGCATAAGTAAAATTTTATTCTCTTTCTGTCTTCTTTTTCAATTGTTATTAAATAAAGATTTTAACATTTGAGTTAAAAAATTATTTGGTAATATATAATAGTGATGTTGAGAAATAAATAAATTTTTCTACATTTCTAATACTAAAAAATATTTAGATTGTACAAAAGAGATCCAGATTGTAGATGGAAGGAATAAAATTGTATATTGGAACTAATATATAATGATAATTAGCAATGATATTTACAAAAACTCGTAGCCTTCCAAAATAAATAAATGAAAGGAAACTAATGAGACTGCAGCGCAGATCGTTAAGCACAAAGAATTTTTTTCAAGATATAATAAAATAGTTATTCATATATAGAATAGTTGCCTTTGTTATCAAACGTTTCAACTTTCTTTTGGAGTTTAGTAACATCAAAAATAGTTTTTAATTAGTTCAGAAATTGAAAGGCAGACATTTAAGCAATGACTTTAGTTTGATATCTTTGGATATAGACTTGTTATTTACGAATATCCCTTGCTGTTGAGAGTGTTTGTCATAGATGGGACTTTTGTTAGAAAATAAAATGTGTATTCCCCTAAGGATGGATTTTTACAAGCAATGAGTTTAGTTTTAAACTTATCCGTTTTCAGTTTAATAATGAATTTTATATACAGAACTTTGGCACTCCAATGTGTTTTCCCTTCTCACCAATTATCGCAGACTTAGTCATACAGGATTTAGAAAAAAAGTGTTGACAAGTATGAATGTAATTTACTTTTTTATACAACATAAATTATTTCTTTTGACCACGATAAGTGTTTTAACTATATTGTTTTGACATTCTTTACCTAATTTAGCTCATATGTACTTGTGACTGTTATAATTACAAAATCTTATTGTTTTTAAGTGTATTTGTTACGTCTTGAGTGACACATCATATTGAGATGATTGTATACCATTATCAATATTTATTATTAATTGTTTATTATAATCATGATATTCAAACATTCTTGTATGTTTCATATTTTGTTTAAGTTTATTCTACAATGTGTGTTTTTTGTTTGCTGTTTCTTGTTTTTTACCTTTTGTTTTCTTCTCACTTTGCAATCGTTTTTTTCAATTGATAATTATATTTCTTGCTATGTATTCCTTATTTCTTCTCAAGTTTTAACTTTTCTATCTTGGACGATAGAAAACAAAAAATGGGATAAGAGACAAAAAGACTAGATACAAAAAATAATAAAAAGCAAGAAACTGAAAAGAAATTACGTATTGTAGAACAGACTTTAGTATAAGCCACCTGTACATATATCTTATTAAATATTAGATATTTATACAAGGTGTTAAAAAAAACATTCAGCATTTATACGGTAGATAGTACACAACATACTTTTTAAAAAAGCCTTAGTGAACATAAGTCGAAAGCTCAACCGTTTCTGAGATATAAACATTTTTATACATATTATTTGATAATTATACAATTAGATTGTATCACGTTAAAAATGTCAGCTTATTACTCTAATCAAGAACAAATATGCATTTTTTATATAGTTGTGCTAATAGAAATGTCATTCATAATGCTAAAAGTCATGTTGCTAACATACAAAAATGTTTATATCTATTACTATCTACCATATAAATGCTGAATGGTATTTTTAACACCCTGTATATATATTACTACAAAAAATTTTTATTATTTGAATAGATATTGCTACAGATTTGGTAAGCTGAGAGTGAACTTAATCTTTACAATCTGCTGAATGCTTTATCAAACTCGTTGATGATGACTCCAAGAGAGGTTCGGTAATAAAGGCTATTCTATAGAGTAACTCTTTTATTGTATCTTGAAGAAAATTTTTTGCGCTCAATGATCCGCATTATCCTCTTATTAACCCAGAGTTCTCTTTTATTCATTTATTTATAATGGTAATGTTACGTTTAAATTTTATAATTTGAATTAATTTTTATGTATTAAAAAATTATATATACATATTTATGTTTACAGAGAAGAGGGTAAGAGACCGCGTAAAGAATTTCACTTATTCTTTGTGCCGCGCAAGAGTCTACTTTGTCAAAAGAAGCTTCAAAATCGCGGTGTGTTTGGCAGCTTTACGCTGATAGAAGAATTTAAGTGTGATCTTTTTCCATTTGATAATGATCTGCTCTCAATGGAACTTAGCGGATCTTTTAAGGAATTCCATTTGGAAAATGATCCTACTTGTCTGTATCAAGTCGCGCAAGCCATACAAGGCTTGCAAAAGTTATACGGTAAAATCTCGAAAGTCACAGGAAGAGGACCAGCTGCCAATAAAGTTTGGGAATTGCTAGAGAGACTGAATAGAGAAGAGGAAGATAATAAATCACTCCCTGCATCGTCTGTAGCCATTGAACATTTATTATTATTGGATCGATCTGTAGATTTACTCTCACCTTTAGTTACACAATTGACCTACGAAGGATTAATTGATGAAATATATGGAATAAAATACAGTGAAGTATCAGTTTTCGTACATTTTCTATATTTCAAAATTATAATCTTTAAGCACCTCTTTGAATGCATTTTGTACATGAAATAACAACAGAGAAATGTCTTCGATTTTAGATACTGTGCAATTACCTGCAAGAAAGTTCCATGACTCAGATGACTCTCCCACAGCAATGTCTTTGAATGAAAAGGAACAAATTATATTGAATTCAGGAGAAGAACTTTTTGCTGAGATTAGGTACATAATTGTACATAAGTTTCCCTAACAATTCTTTATGTTATATTTTTACAGAGATAAAAATTTTAACGGCGTTGGACCAGTTCTTAGTAAGAAAGCCAAAGTGATTTCATCTCAATTTGACGAAAGGCACGGAGATAAGAGTGTGCAAGAAATTAAGCAGTTTGTTGCAAGATTACCACATATGCTAGCAACAAAACAATCTTTAGCAAGGCGTAAGATATAAAGATATATGTTGAGATTTAATGTTTTCTGATGATTTTTCTTTTTATTTTAATAGAAATAAAGGGCTGTGGCATAACGTTGCGGAAACTATAACAAACAACCAGCCTTTGCTCTTAACCCTTTATTTCTATTTAATTGTTTTACTCAATTGAGCATTTCGTATTAATATTAATTATTCTTTTTATGTTTTAATGATTTATTGTAATTTCTCTCTTAGATACCACAATCGCTGAGATGATAAAAGAAGTGACCGACTCAAGCAACTTTCTAGAATCATTGCAAATCGAACAAGAATTGTTAAACTGTATCGACACGGACAAACCGAATGCGTATATCGAAGATATGATAGCACAGCAACAACCGTTATTGAAAATTTTACGTTTGCTTTGCATACAATCGTTGACAAACTCTGGTTTAAAACCAAAGTTGTTAGATTACTACAAAAGAGAAATAATTCATACATATGGATTTCAACATTTACCAACTTTATTAAATCTGGAAAAGGCTGGTTTATTAAAACAGCAGCAATCGGTACGACAATATGCAGTATTAAGGAAAGCATTAAGGCTCACTGTTGAAGACGAGAGTGAAGTAACACCAAAAGATATTAGTTATGTACATTCCATATATGCACCACTGAGCGTGAGATTGGCGGAACAACTAGTACAATCAAATGGATGGCAAGGATTGAACGATGTGATGGGATTATTGCCAGGTCCTACCGTAAGCAGCGTGCCATACAATGTTTCAACAAGACGTAAGTCAAACCTAAATCTTGATTTATCCCTAATAAAAAAAATCACATCACGAAATTACATAACGAAATCATGTAACAAGTTATGCCAAATAAATAAATAAACAAAATTCACAATCGGTAAGTATAAATAAAAAAATAATAAAATTACATAATTTGAGAAATCACATAATATTAGAAACAATTTCATTCATCGTGTAATTTTATAGTTATCAAATTTTAAATGATAGAAATAGAAGAAAAAAAAACACATCGTTAAGTGACTTTTCAAATTATGTGATTGTAAAAAATTATATACTGAATTGAAACAATCCATTATACGATTTACTTGTCTTAATTACATGATTGTAACTTTATTCAGTATGGATTCATAGTTTATATTTCTAATATATTTATACATTAATCAAATTTTATTTCAGGAAATTCTATTACTAGCGAAGACTCTAGTTCGGAACCACCAAAATTAATTCTAATATTTTTCATTGGAGGATGCACCTTCGCCGAGATATCTGCTCTTCGGTTTCTATCGCAACAGGAAGAGCGTAAGTGTTGTAATTTACATTATGAAATACTTATTTGCACAAATAAATAAATGTACATAATAAACCGTATACAATAAACATAGTACAATTTTTTTCAGTAAATGTCGAGTTTGTTGTGGGAACTACAAGATTAATCAATGGCAACACATTTCTTACTTCTTTGATGGAAAATTTAGAACAGACATGAGAAGAGAACTGCTTAAAGTATCGAAATAAGATAGTCGTTATTTTTTATGTAATAAATTGTAAATATATATTTCTCCCTTATTATTGTTATTTTTATCAAGTATATGTATATATATATGTATTTATATTTATATGTATTTATCAAGTATATGTATATACATATATATAAAATTCTTAAAAATAAGATCTTTTAAAAATCTAGATGGTAATTGCATTTTGTACACACATATACGTACATGAAAATAAATACTACTGCAATATGTAAGAACATATAATATAATAAGTACTTTTCTATTTATAAAATCGTTGTGTTACAATATATATATTGAACTCAATTTTGAAATTTTTTATTGTTTTCAGCATAGATTCTACCTCACAGATACGTATTAATGCGTATACTTTAATTCTGTAAAAGGATTTTGGAATCTGTGAATTACAAAAAAAGTATTTACGATACAAAAATTATACGATTTTGTCGGTAATATAGAGACCTATAGGGTAATTTAGGATCCCCTTAAGGGTATCCCAACACGATTCATTTTTACCTTTATAATGAAAAAGCTCTCCAAATTATCGTCAGTCGGTAAATAGGAAACTTCCATACTTTTCGTTAAACGGTGATAAAACAGCACACATATGATCTGAAAGAACGAAAAGAGACGAGCTAGTTCGCAACGTGACCGGCGTAGAGCGCCACCGCCATCGCGGAACGGACGGCTCTCGTGTGTGCCTGGTGCGCCGTGAAGTGTGTGTACACGGTGTGTATACGGTGCAAGTACGGTACGAAGCGGGACGAGCGTTGATCGGACGTGAGACGCAGGCGGTGGAATCCTCGCGCACGGTTCCCGCGGTCGTCGTCCGTGGACATCCGAGGTAACGGAGTGGCTTCGTTGTCGTCGCTCCCTGCCTCGCGGCTCGGTCATTCGCGAGAGTGCTCGCGCTCGCGCGCGCGCGCAAGAAAGCGCGAGAGAGAGAGAGAGAGTAAGAGAGTACATGTGTACGTGTGTGTAGGTGCGTGCGTGACGTGCGTATACGGCGACGACGACGACGACGTCGACGAAGCGTGTATTGTTCCGGGGCGCGGTACGTGAGACCCTTGCGGATCGTCGGCGGCGGACTCGCCCGAGGATCGCGGGCGTTTAATTATGCCCGCGGGACCGTCGTCGGCCGGGTTCAGGAAAAAGAGCCGCTCCGCCTCCGCCGCCTGAAGAGAAGTAGCGCACTATACGGAGCCTACGAGGCGCATGCTTCCCCGCCCGTTCCCTCGCCATTTTGGAGGTGAATACAATATTTTCTCGACCTCCCTCCCCCCTTCTTTTTTTTTCCAGTTCTCGAGCCCCCGAGGCCTCGTCCACCTCTGGGTCCGCCCCAACCGGATCTCGGCGTCCGCCGTCCGTGTGAAAAACCGCACACGATGTCACACGCCACCCAGAGACGGACGGATGGACGGAGACGGGACGAGGACGTGTGAGAGACGGGGACACCGGCCGTCGTGACGCGCGCGCTGTAAACGCGCGTGAGATGCGTGTTTTCGTCTCGCCGTCGTCGTGTCGACGGCGCGCAGCGCGCGCGGTGCAGCGCTGCACCGCGCGACGACGCGCGGCAGGGGGTGCGGCGAGAGAGAGAGAGAGAGAGAGCGCGAGGAGGACGGTGACGGGAGGTGGAGGAGGCGGGGGGGGAGGTAGGGGGCCTGATCAGGCCGACGAGCGCCGAGGACCCAACCCTCCTTACTCCCGCATTTCTCCACCTCCTGCGCGAATTTTTTTCATTGTCGCCGCCGTCGTCGTCGTCAACGTCGTCTTTGTCATCGCCGTCGTTCGATCCGCTCGCGAGAAGAATCGCGCGAACCCGGAGGTGGCTTCGCTCGTGTTTAAGGATATTCCCCCCTCGGCGCCGCGCGTCGATAATTCTCTCTCTCTCTCTCTTCCTCCTCCCCCTCCCTCCCTTCCCTCCCCCTCGCCATCGCGCCCTGCCAAATTTTGCCTCTCCAGTCTCTCTCCCCCCCCCCTTCCTCTCTCTCTTTTTATCTTGCCTCCCTGTGATCCGGTCGTATCCAACAGAATTGTTAGAAAAATCTAACGACCTCTAACAGTCTCTTTCTTCCCACCGAAAGTCGGCTCTCTTTGACGATAGAGACCCCCAGGTGTCAGTCGCTCGAGAGATCACTCGGGACCACGGCGGGTAAACGTGTGACTAATGCGACAACAATGACCGGAGTACGACGGCACTCGTCGTTCCTACGGGAAGAACGTGCCTATTTCTGTGTCGTTTGAGCCGTCACATGTTTTCTCTTCGGCCTCTCCTCGCCGTCGCAATCGCGGGGGAAATCGCATTTAGATCCTCGCTCCCGCGAGCGAGATAAAGAGAAAGAAAAAGAAAAACGGAAACGATCCGCGACAACGACCGATGACAAGATTCGGACAATGGGCCGAGCGTGAATGTTTGTTATTGCTGCTGTGTGCCTTTGCGTTTTCAATGCGCTCGTAAAAAATCGCGCGTAAGGCATGTCCAGACACGGAGGAAGGTGCCTCGACTTTTGATACACGAGCGGAAAATTGCTCCGGACGCTTTTCCGAGAAACAGTTTCCTTCCGAGAGGTTTCTCGGACCCCGTCACGTGATGAACTCGTGAGCTGAAGATTTCATGAAGAATCTAATTGCCTGCAATTAAAACGCTCGCAATCACTTTCGTACAGTGAAATTAGAGAATATAAAGTAGATAGGAAAGCAGTGTTTCCAAGATAATCTCCAAGTGCGAGTCGGTGTAAAACTGGAAGACTTAATAACTATTGGAATCCTTGACTGATTAAGAATTGACAACTTGTGGAAGTGCGGACGTATAAAATTTGTAAGAAGATACAATTAAAATGCTTTGTAATTGAACTCGTGTAATCTGATTAATGTAAAGTACACGAATATACTTTATTTATAGCAGGCCGCCATGTTCTTTTTCGAGTCATTAACAAATTGATACTCTGAAATTGCAAGCAATTATTTTTTATTGTACGGTCTAGCATAAATTTCAAATCAAATCTGAATAACCAACTTTTATATTTTGTGCATTAAGAACAACATACTGCAGTTATTTTCTAGAAAACTGTAATATGCAAATCGTAATCTGTTTTACTTATATGTATGTATGTTCAATTTGAATTTGCACCTTGAATAATCTATCAGTTACTTTTCGTGGTACATATTCAACATAGAAAATATACGTTATATGTATGTTCACTTTGAACTGGCACATTTAGTAATATATCAGTTACTTTTCATGGTAATATATTATATTAGATAATATCATTTAAAGTGTTAAATGTTTGAATTACTGGGGATCATTTTTTGATCAGATGACCATTTAAAGATTTAAAGGTCTAAATTTTTGAGAGGATTTTTTTTTGAACATGGCTTGATATAATTGTACAAAAACAATAGTATAAATTATTAACATTTTAAATCGTTTTTTTTTTTTAAGTGTCATTTTCACTACAAAATATTCTTAATTGATTAGTATATGTGATAAAATTAATATGAATATAAATAAGAATTATTATTTAAATTAAAAATTAATATGATTTAAAAATACTGAAATATGTAAATTTCTTATTGTAATTTTAAATATAAGAAATAAAAACATAATGACGCATTGAATGACACTGATATTAGCTGAATTAATGTCTTGAGACTACAAAGAAATAAAAAAAATTATCTCCATCTTAATTTGATTGATAGAGTGATCTTTATCTCTCACACACACACACACACACACACACATATTTTGAACCTGTATTTATCAAAATAATTAATGTTAAAAAATGAAACTTAATAAATTCTGATTTACTTTAGCACAATTTTATAAAGACACTTTTTTATCACTGAATTAAATAAGAAACATGCCCTTAATGTTTTATGTAACAGTTTATGAATTTCTCCAATATTTTTTCTAATAATTTATATTTTCTATATAATTAATTAGAGCATGAAACAATATATATAGTGATGCAATATACATCAATTATTGTAGCTTTAAATTTTATTAGCTTGATATATCTAAACCTAAAAACATTTCTTTTATACAGAATGTTAAGTTTGGGAATGGACTGACAGAGGATTCAATAAAAACAGACGGTTTGAGCAAGGAATCTAAAGAGAACAGGGCAAGGTGTCTGGACTAGGCCTCGGGCATCTAATTATCAACAACTCGACTATGCCAGCTGTTGCAAGGCCTGGTAGTTTAAAGGACCCAGAGATTGCCGAATTATTTGAGAAAAATGATCCGGAGAAAATATTTGAGGATTTGCGCGAGATCGGGCATGGTAGTTTCGGGGCTGTTTACTATGCACGATGCCTGGTTACCAAAGAAATTGTTGCCATCAAGAAAATGTCTTATCTGGGGAAGCAAACGATGGAAAAGTGGCAAGACATTTTAAAGGAAATTCGATTTCTTAGGCAACTTAATCATCCTAACACTATAGAATATAAGGGTTGCTATCTCAGGGACCACACTGCCTGGGTATGTGCGGATATCTCTCTTTTTTATTCTATCAATGTTTGTTATATTTTAAACTGCATTGTTGTGTACCGTTTTGCAGTTGGTGATGGAATATTGTCTTGGCTCCGCATCAGATATTATTGAGGTACACAAAAGACCGCTGAAGGAAGAGGAAATAGCTGCGATATGCGAGGGTGTATTGCGTGGCTTGCACTATCTTCACTCCCTTGGGAGAATCCATCGCGATGTGAAAGCTGGAAATATTCTACTTACTGAGAATGGTACAGTGAAATTAGCTGATTTCGGGTCCGCGAGTATAAAATGTCCAGCCAATAGCTTCGTAGGGACTCCGTACTGGATGGCGCCAGAAGTTATATTGGCTATGGACGAGGGGCAATATGATGGCAAGGTTGACGTATGGTCATTAGGAATAACATGCATCGAATTAGGTACGTATTTAACGTATTAATTATGTATAAAAGCTTATCACATCAATACGTTTGTATCATTGACTTAAAGTAATATTATTACTATATAATTTAAATTATAATTTACACAATTATTCAGTATCTGCATTTATGATAATTCTTTTAAACCCAATAAAGTGGCAATGATTATTCTAAGTCGAAAAATATTAATATAATTTTTTTAAAATGAAGTTCTGTAATTTAATTAACATTTCCATTTTTCTATTTTATCGAAGAAAACATTTTATTTATATTCTAATTATTATTTATTCTAGCCTAAACACGAAACTCACGTTATTTATATTATTGATTACAGCGGAAAGAAAGCCACCTTATTTTAATATGAACGCAATGAGCGCCTTGTATCATATTGCACAGAATGACAATCCAACGTTAAATTCGCCAGATTGGACTGATGTTTTTCGACATTTTGTTGAGGTGTGTCTCACAAAAAGTCCAATTGAAAGACCAACATCCGGGAAACTGTTATCAGTGAGTTGTCCTTATGTATATCTGCAGCGATACTTTACATCCGTATATATTGTCTTTTTTTTTTTGTTTCATTATATGTAGTACGTTAGTAGTAGTCTAGTTGTTCTCTTATAGGCTTTCAATTTTACAGCATCAATTTGTCACCAGACCACGTTCTCCTCAAGTTTTAATAGATTTAATACAGAGAACAAAAGCTGCTGTTCGAGAATTAGATAATTTGAATTACCGTAAAATGAAGAAAATTTTGATGATCGACTCATGCGAGACAGAGAGCACAGTTGGTGACGCAGACGGTATAATCATTTATATTTATCAAATGTCAATTTTATTAAACTACACATATATTTTTTACGCTTGTATCTTTTTTTTTTGAGTACGCTAATTAAACATGCTGTACTCCTTGAATCTTTAAAACTACAATCACTTACAGATACTCCTGATGAACAAACAGGTGGCGATAGTAGCAAAAGCAATTCAATTACCTCAGAACACTCGATTCACTCGATGGGCGTCTCAGCAAGCTCTCAAAGTTCCTCCACCAATAGCCTGCCGCTGCCGAATGCTGATGGTAATGATTATTCTTCGGGATCTGTCAGAAATCGGCATAAGGTCTCAGCAGGTGGTGTCACTGCCAATCTTCTTGAACACGGTGCCAATAATTTTGCAACAATTAGGACAACTTCAATTGTTACGAAACAACAAAAAGAACATATGCAAGAAGAAATGCATGAACAAATGAGTGGATATAAACGAATGAGGAGAGAGCATCAAGGTGCTTTGGTAAGAATTCTAACATTCTATATTAAATTATAATACAGAAAGAAATAATTTTTACGATCTTTTTACAAAGAATCTTTTAATGATTACGATTAATAAATTTCAAAACTTGTATGTTCAAAGTAATTTTGGTAAGTGATTTTGCTGATAAATTCAATTGCTTCAAAAAATTGTATTTAAATAAAAAGATTGTAAACTTGTAAACAATAATTATTAATAATTATGAAAAAAAATTCATTTTCATTTATAATGTAATATTCATTTATTTATAGGTGAAATTAGAGGAACGTTGCAAAATGGAAATGGAGTCACATAAACAGCTGTTGGACAAAGAATATGAAACTTTATTACAACAGTTTAGTAAGGATCTCGAGAAATTGCAACTCAGACATCTACAAGAACTAGAACGCAAGTTGAAACAAAATCAAAATGCTGAGAAGAAACTTAATAAAGAAATAACAAGTAGACATGAAGCTGACCGTAAAGCTCTGGAAGCTCAACAGAAAAGAGAGTACAAAGTAAGATAATGGCATAAGAAATTTATTGTGATATGTAAAATTTTAATTTATATATCTTACACATTTAATTTATATCTTTAAACGTATAATTTTATTTATACAGGCTTATAAAGAAAGATGGAAAAAAGAACTCTCTCAGGATGAAGTAACTCCAAAGAGGCAACGAGATGCTACACTTCAAAGTCAAAAAGATAATTTGAGACAGATGGAAGCTCAAGAGGAGCAACGGCTTGCGAGGGGACAACGAGAATATTTGGACCTTGAAATTCGGAAATTCCGTAGAAAAAAGTTACTCATCTTCCATAGTTTGGAACAGGAGCTTCTTCGCGAAGTTCGTATTACTCGATATGTTAAAGATTTCTTATTTCTGAACTCTCTCTCCTCCTCCATCTCTCCCCTTTCCCCTCACACACACATATATATTAATATATGTATTTTTTAAATAATCTTTTTTTTTAATAATCTTTTTATCGTATTTTTTATTTTAAATATTTTGATTTACCTAACCATTCTTTTCCCGTAGTGTTAATTCTGAGATCAAGCTTACTGATTTTTATTGATGTTTGTCTTTTACAAGGTATCTTAAGAATTTTATTACATTAAGTACATTTATTAAACAGGAATTGAATAAACGGCAACAACAGCTGGAGCAAGCACATGCTATGCTTTTACGACATCATGAAAAGACGCAAGAATTAGAATATAGACAGCAAAGAGCAGTACACGCACTTCGTGAGGATCAAGTACATCGACAGCATTCAACAGAACTTTGTAACCAGCAGGATTATATGCAAAGGGCCGAGCGCGATTTACGTAAAAAGCATGCGTTAGAACTTAAACAACAACCGAAGAGTCTCAAGGTGAATAACAATATATGTAATAATATAAATAGGTATTGCTATCTGTTCTTAGAATGAGAATATAAAGGTCTTCAAGTAAAACATATTAAAATTGATATTTTAATGTAAATATTTAATGTAAATATGGTTTAATGTATAGAATAATTTACGATAAAGAGATATTGTACTGATATACACACCCACACAAAATGTGTGCGTACGTGTGTGTAATTTTCAATGTTCTCTTCGTATATTTAATATTCACAAATGTATTTTATAATTTTAGCAAAAGGAAATGCAAATTCGTAAACAGTTTAGAGAAACTTGTAAAATACAAACACGACAATATAAAGCGTTGAAAGCTCAAATCCTGCAAACGACTGCTAAGGATGAGCAAAAAGCAGTTATTAAGAAATTAAAGGAAGAACAAAGACGCAAATTAGCACTTTTAGGCGATCAGTATGAGCAAAGTATCGCTGAAATGCTCCAAAAGCAAAGTATACGGTTAGACGAGTCACAAGAAGTAGAATGCCATAATCTTAAGGTTCGACAAATGATATTATCATATTATTGCGTATTGTAATATACAACTTTATAATTGTACGATATTAATGACAAATTAATATTACAGGAAAGACTAAATTATGAATTAGAAATTCTGATGGCATACCAATCAAAAAATAAGATGCAAGCCGAGGCGCAGAGAAACAGAGAACGTCGTGAATTAGAAGATCGTGTATCTGTTAGACGAGCTTTGCTTGAACAAAAAATGGAATTAGAAACTCAGGAATTTCTTCGTGAACGTAGTGAACGTATACGCCTGTTACATGAAAGGCAAGAACGGGAACTGCAGCAATTTGATGAGGAAAGTGCAAGAATAGGATTCAGGTACGCTAACAGAAAATATAATATATTACAGTACACACAGTTTAATTAAATTTTGAAGAAATATTGCTACATTTATCAAACGTAAACGATGCATTATATTTTTATAGCATTTTTCAAATTATTGCAGTGCTCTGGCGATAGCTGAAGCATCGAAAGAATCTTATCCGGACGATGAAAGCCTTAGTGGCTCCATGTTAAGTCTGGCTCACAGTAATAGCTCCACGTCCTTCCCCCCTAATAGTCTTTAATTTTAACCCTCAAATTCCACACTGGCGCGAATTCGCACCAGCAAAAATACGCATCAAATTGTGTATGGAAAAGTTTCTATGGAAAATTTTTGCTTTGCATCTTCATAACAAAATTAACGTTTAAAGACGTAAGAATTCGCACCAGTGTGGAAGTTACGGTTGCGCGGGGTGTACGTAACGAGTTTGCCGACGTAATAATTCAATGACTTACAAATACAATATAACAAGGATTGACTTGTTACGTGCATCCATGTTATTGAACCGAAACCTGCAAGATTTATTGGGAATGTGTATTGGCTGAAATGTAGGCGCGTAATTTTTAATCGTCCAGATGTATCGACGTACTTTGCCAGAAAAGAAAGAAAGCTTCATATTGAAGAAGAATTTAGATGCTTTTTGCAACATTGTAATATTTATTAATCATAACCAAATATTCTGAGATACATATAGAGATAAAAGAAAATCTTTCAAACGTTAATCTCATTTCTTATATATCCATTACAGAATCTTCAAATTTATAGGCCAGATGATATCAACATAGGGAATAAAGAATTTTATACACACCTATACTACAGGAAAAAATTTAGAGGCATTTATTTATTAATACGCTACAAATATAATAAAAATAACAGTACAATAGTTATAATGCTCGAATAATATACATTTTATTCTTTTTCCTTTAGATAAATCTGAGATATTTTTCTCAGTATGGGGTGTTCTGACTTTTACGTTCATGATAAAAACTTTAAAGTTTTTCGTGATAATCGAGCATCGCGCGCATTAGTATATTTTTTACGTATTTCCAGATTTTAATTACATAGTAGTGTTTATTTAAAGAGTAAATAATGGCCAATTTGTAAAGTAATAGTCTAATAAATTTAGCAAAACTATCTTTTTGTTGTAAGTGTAAATATTAGCAGTCAAATATGCATTTCTTTAATAGAGGTTTAGATTCAGGATACAACAAGTTATCCTTTTATTGCTTTATACTTTTCATCTTATATTAATATAACAAATTTAATTGCTAATAAAATTATTGTTGAGAATTAGAAGCAATTGGTATTCACTTTTCAATTCCTTTCAAGTTCCTGCTGCGTTCGGGAATTCAGAGTATTATCATTTTATCTTTGTTGTTCGTCTAAATATTAAACAAAGATAAAACGATAGCTAGGTACACCCAAATAAAGTTTTTGAACGCAGCTCTGTACAATTCTTTAACGTTGTATCTTGGATGTATCTAAGTATGTAATTTACATAAAATTAATAACATATAAAAATTATTTATGTGATATGTTAATTTATATCTATTATGCATTGTTTAAGAAAATTTAAATATTCACATTTTATATAATGAAAGGTCTTTGATAAAATAAAGATGTTATACGTTTTTTTATTAATCTAAATTTTCTACGTTATTACAAAGTAAATTTATTTTCAGTTATATAAAGCTAGTTGTTTAATGTCTCATAATTTCTTTTTTACTTCCATGTCTTTATTCATGCAGCATTAAACCAGTGGAATTAAAAGTATTTATATGTTAAATATGATATTTAATGAAGAGGTTTAAAATAATGCAGGTATCAATTACTTTAAATATAAGATAAATTGATATTATTAATGCATTACTAAATGTTCTACACGTTTATACTAATAACCATAGCATTTTATCTTAATTTGATGACATGTAAATTCCTCAAAATATTCACTTTTTTGTAATATTTCAATTGTACCGATTACTTGTTTTACAGGAATAAACGTTCAACAAACGTTTGTTCCTTCAAATTGCTTATAAAAGTTTAAAGTGTACTTTTTGATTCATCGCGCCCTTCATTTTTTATATTTATATTATATTATATACTCTATAACTGCATTCATAATTTCATCCAGTACACATCCCAATATTGTACTTTTACATCAAAATATACATGTTTTGTTTTCCTATTTATTATTTTTTTCATATATTTTTATTTTATATGTCACGAAACCATTATACATGTAAAATCCGTATCCATGATTGTGACTGTTGTTCCTTCCGATGTTTTGTTATATAACAATTTTCCTACAAAATCAACGAAAAACAAATATCTCGTTTAATATTAAATTCAAGAAGTATGTATTAAGAAAGTATATTTCCATTAATGATAACATTTGTAAGCAGGTGCTACTATATTATGTAGTTAATACTTAGCAACACCATACAGTCTAGTTATTTTTGGAATATGAAATGTCAGTAAGTTGTATTGTATAAAGCATTTCATTGTTATCATAAAAAAATGTAAATTTTTATAATTCTATTAATTTTTTTAATATATATATATATGTGTACATATATATATGGTATATAACATATATATATATATATATATGTATGTATATATGTATGAATTGGAGAGCAGTAAAACATGTCACCATGAAATACTTGTAAACGATAGTCGAGAAAGCCAATCAAATACTTGTATTATATATTAATGCGTATACATATATTATATTAACAAAAAGAACTAACGTTCTATAATTTCATTTTACGCTTATAACTTGAGATTTTTCACGTAAATTAAAAAAAAAGTGTTTATTTAGTTTTAGAAGAGATATAAGTAATACTATAAAACAAATTGCGGGGTATGACCAAAAATATTGCATTTTATTTCGTAAGTTCGTTAATCTTTTTTTCCCTTAATATAATTTATTCATTTAAACAAAAATGAAAAGCTTTAAACGACATTCACATAGTAAACATTTTGTCATTTGCATTATCAATGGCAACATAGCATACACATTCCAATTTTCGTTATATATTAAATATATATATATATATATATATATATGTTATGTATTTTTTTAATCTTCATGAAAATAAAATTTGACGCGAAAATTTTACGCGACTAGCATGCATCGAACGAATATCTAAAAGTGTGTTCAATTATAGTGATATGAATGATTGTAGTAAAACATAAACAATACAATTGTTATCATGGTTATATGTTCCAAACTGTACAATACGGAAAACTGTCACAATCAACCGAAATATTTCCCATTATGATATGTACATACAAACGCATATTATACATAGTAATCGAAATGTAACAACTCATTATGGAAAAGACAGTAAGATGACATCCATGTGTGTATGAAGATACAAATTAAAATTCTTCCTTAGGTTCTTATTAGAGAAAGATGTCCGAGATCAATTACTATAATCAATTTGAAACGTAACAGACTAACAGAGATTGTTCGTGCTAACAAACCGGATTCGAAATTACGTGAAATGTGTGGTTTATAGAAAAAAAAAAACTGTTTAGACTAATTTAATATGTTATACAAATACGTCTTTCTGTTATTATAAGTAAACTAATTAAACAGTTGCGATTATTAAAGTTTTAGATTTCAAACTTGCCTTCGTAGAAGAAGGTTCTATATAAAATAAAATTGTTAAGTTTTATATATGTTACTATACACTTTTAATTATAGCACGAGTTGTGTCTCTGAGTTAAGTTGTATGTATGTAACAAAAGGATTATTCTCGACTGTAATCTGTGTAATCACTATAACTTGCTGAATACCCAATTTAGGAAATTGTCGATGTTGCTAGAGTTTTGTAAATATTTATTCGCTTTACATAGAATTGCGATATGGAATTTTGATTATTCTAGTATTTAGTATGAAAGAGAAAGAGAGAGAGAGAGAGAGAGAGAGAAAGAGAGTGCATGCGTGCGTGTGAACACGGAAAGAAAGAGAGAGAGAGAGAGAGAGAGAGAGAAAGAGATTTATAAAAATTTTCCAAAAAATGTGCGCGTGGTTTACTTTATCAGTTAACTTTGGAATGTGATAACTGGTAAGCTAGACAATTAATCATAGGCATAGCATATCAAATATTATAGTATCAAATTATGCTTGTGATTATTTGACGAGCTCCTTCTTCACTTACTTCCATTCAAGGTGTGATTTTTGTAATGCTGGTGATTTGTGTTACGATGCAATTCACCGTCATCAGATAGAAACGCAATATTTTTGAGATTGCTGTAATAATTATGTCCCCCCCCCCCCCCCCCCCCAGTACGAATTATGTCTTCTTTATACATCGGCCAATTACAGGAATATTGTTTTTTTGTACACGACAAAACACCGAAGTGAATGTAACTATATATACTTCAATACACAATTTCTGGCTTTAATTAAAGATAAATCGTAACTCCTTTTTTTTATTTTCAACATTATTTTTTTAAAGTATACAGAGTAATAAGAATAGACATAGTCGTGCAAAATAAATACCTATTAATACCATGGAAAGTAGAAAATACTTCAGATCGATCACTAAACAAAAATTTTATGAGACAAAATAATCTCTCATAAATATGTTTTATAAAAATAAAAGTATTGATATCTTTTAAAGACAGCCAAATAAAAATTCAATAACTATTTGTGTTATTGTTAATTTAATTAAACAAGGCTAATTGTAAGAAAATATGTGTATTTATAAAATAACAAGTAGAATACGTTATTAATATTATTTAAGATCACATGTGAATGTGTGTTATATATATGAAATCTTTGATTTCTGAAGGTAATTTCTATTTTCGATATTATTACACAGATTCTTATAATTTCTCTATAAATTTTCTGTTTATATTTTGTAATTACGAGAAAAATATTACAACGCAACTCGCGACTCCTCTCCCCTGAAAAGAATAATTATTTAAAAAATGCATCAGCATTGTATAAAATTTATGTTGAATTTATCCTCTCTAACAAACCTGAAAATGATTTGTTTTTAATGAAATTTGGATCTAATCTCCTTATCCCTAATATATACTTTCTATAAGCTGTATCGGTAATTAAATTTTAACTCATCCTTGCATTTTGTTCTTAAAAAAAAAACAACTCGTACCAATCAGCTTGTACCATATTTCGATAATAAAATGAGATTCCATGTATATACATAGTGTGCATATATTAAAGCAATTCTTAACGGTAGCGTCATTGAAGTTTGTAATATTTATTCTTCATTTAATTTTGTAACATGTATACTCTACATTGAAAAATATTAACACGGATAAATTTTCAGAATTAATAACATTGCATTTTAAGCGAGCATTAACTTTTTATTAATTGCAATTAAAGAGAATAATTGCATTAAGAATTTTCTGTGACAATGCTGAAGCGTTTTACATCAAATTGAATGTAATTGCCTGAGTGGGTGAGTTAATATTTGTAGTCAATGTGCTCATACAACTCATTCGTAGTATGAGATAACATATAATAGACTCTAATATATTCTCCCTACATTTTATTAACATTGTTTTATTATTGTTTACTATTATCTTTATTATATTAACACAACCTGAAATGTAAATTTTTATTGAGATTGATATCTTACCATTGAGATACCAATATCTTTCTAATAAATAAATAAATAATCGTGAAATGCATATGAAATGCGAATAATCAAGTCATAAACGTTTTTGATAATCACTTATATGAATATTCAATTTTATTTTTAAATTTAAGTAATATACACATTTTGTAACTATAAATCGATTGAGGAAAAGAAATGTACGATGATGCATCGTAAATTAACTCTTGAAAGAATTAGTTGAAACTGTTTAATCTAATATATACAATACATATTAATAAGATCATTTTTAAAAAAGATGAGAAATGTTATAACCACGAATGCATCTTTTAAATGATGTTCACTGATGATTTGCATATTTAATTAATGTTATAAATTCGGATGCATCTCTTTTACTTATATTATTATACTGTATTATCTATGCATTTTCGTAATATATATTAGTTGTAATACGCAAAAATAGAAAAATATGAAAAATAAGAATCGTTATTAAAATAAAAACGTGTCGTATTGTCTTCCTATATAATAGTTCGAAACTGATGCAGTGTGGATAAAGAAAAAATGCGGAAGAATATAAAGATCATTTCTTTATATCTTTCTCTCTATACATACATACATATTACGCATGTGTCATTATGTTTTACATATAATATTTATACATACATATGTTATTATTATACATATATATATATACATAATTACATATATATATGTACATGTATAAATATACAACATGTATGTATAAACAGCTGCTTTTTGCTAGTATATAACAACAGTAACAAACTATTATATTCCTGCCAGTTGTAATACAATAAAAATTTGTAGCTTTTCTCATGCGTGTAAATAGAGTTCATATAGTTAAATCTACACAGTGTATACATGTAACAAATGTTTTTACAATATTACAATCCATATATATATGGTATATATATATATATATATATATATATATTTATAAGAAATAACTAGTATAATATACAAATGCATTTCTGTTCGCATCCGTGAAATTTTATTTCGTGGGCGAGAACGAAGTTGGATTTAATATGCGCGAATGCATTTCTCTTATTAAAGGTACAGTATAAGCGACGCACTCGTCCCAACCGGGTGATCTCCAAGCACTCTCACGCGTTTCTTTACGTGACTGAAGATCCTTGTAACCTGAGAAATACAAGCAAATTATGCGATGTGTATGAAGATGAATGAGGATAACGTACATGCATAAAAAAAAAAGCGTAAACAATATGTAGTTTCACACTTACACCAAATATGGTGAACATTGTACAATCTACCAATTTGTGAGAAGTAACCAGCAAAAGGTTCATCATTATTGCGTCTATAATTAATAGCTTTAGCCCAATTATTTCCCCATTCTATCATCGTGCCTGGTTGTAAACTATAACTACGTATTTCGTATTTATTAGGCCCTTTCCTTTTTGTCAACGGTGGCCAATAACTGAACGCCAACAGATATTGCAAATGACGTGATCTTAAGTAATTCCCACGTTCCTTTTGCAATTGTAGATAAGTCTGTGGAAATTAATTTTTAGCCATCAATGTTCATTGCAACTGATCTGTTCTTTTCAGCTAAACTTTTTGCATTATTCATCTTTTTTTTCTCTTCATTGGAGAAATATTGGATAGATGAACGATACAAAAATTTAGCTGAAAAGAACAGACTTGTATCTCTGGCATCTTTTCTTTGTATATTACAACATATTTGTATACCTTATCTTTGGAAAGCACAGACTGTGTATAATCTATACGTTCGTAACCACCTGTATACTGCCATAAATGTAAGGCCTGATCCAAGTCTCCCACTTCCACTGTCCATGAACCGACTAATTCACAATTCAAGTCAGATTTTTTTGAGTGTACCAGATTAACGTGTGCTTCACTGGAATAGTACAAGAAAAAAATAAGAAAAAACGTTAATGGAAATAGCATCACAACCTTATTTAAAATTTCACAAGTTTAAAATTAATAATATATCAATTTTTTGACAATTTGCTATATCCACAAAAGTTATAAAACAAGTACAAATACGAATGATATTCTGATGAATATATAAATTAAATATATAATATTGTATGACAAAAACACAAATTTTAATTATATTTTAAAGATTACATTGCGATATCTGTAAAGACTAATCTGCAATGTGTTCTTTGTTTTTACTTCTTGCCTTTTTCATTCTACTTTATTGATAATCGTGTTTCTTCCAGGTATAATATTAAGTCAGAAGAGTAACTCGAAGTCATTTTTTAGGAAAATTCTGTTTTAATTAAAAAATTATTACGTTAAGAATTCATCACAAAATAATCATCGAAAGCATCTCGAATGACATCACTATGATTCTTTCTAAAATACTTCAATTTAATGTCATCTTGATCTCATTATGACTTTATGTGTTCTATCATTCTACCTGAATTGTCTCTTTCGAGATTCAACTTATCTTTAATAATAGAAAACGAAGAAACAATAAAAAGCAAAAAAGCAAGATAAAAATAAATAAACATGAAGCAAAGGGCACATTGCAGATTACCCTTAGGTCGGAATCAGACTATACATGGAAGATTGAGATTAAAGATTAAAATTTCACCAATGAGGACAAAGAAATTTTGAGTCCTTTTGTTTTGATTGGTCAAACTTCAATCCCATTCTTCAATGCGTAGTCCGATTCCGGCCTTAAAGGCCAACTACTCATAACAATGAAATAAATTTCAGAAAAGCGTTGCGTGCTGCTAAAGACAGGTCGATTCTATCGCATCGAATTTATAGGTCAGTGAACTATCACGCACTCGGATGCAAGGTCACAAAGATGTCGACTCACTAGTTGGCCAAGTATTTGTCAATCGAGTCTGGCCGTATGTTTTGGGTGTGCAGGGCGTAAATGACCTCCTTGTCGGAGAGCATTCGCGAGTGCGACTCTTTCGTGGGCTCGATCTTCCTCACCAGGAGCTTGCTCAGCCATCCCTCGCTGATGTCGCAGCGGATCGACGATCTCGTCAGGAACCTACGAATTAATACAGCTGTCAGTCACAACAATCCAAGCAGGGCAAAGGTCCGTCACGGTTACGAGACTCTTCAACGCACACAGTGACTGTTCTCGCGTGAAGCTAAACAAAAGAAGATAAATGGCAAAATTACGTTCCGCACGAATTCGCTCGCACTTACCGTGCGGCTACGAGCAGCGGCAGGTTCCCGTTGCCGGCGAGCGCGCTCGCCGCGGCGCGAGATTCTCTCCTCAAGACGGCAGCCATTTCCTACTGGATCCCCCGCACTGCCCGCACACGAGTCTCCCCTTCGTCCTTCACCCGGTCGTGTTTGTGTGTGATCCAGCAGACCCCCGGGAGTTCAGAGATTGCGGTGGGACTCGCGGCGTTGCCGATAGTCTCGATACTCTGCGGAAAACCGCTAATTCCCACGCAGTCAGTTTATTTATATTCGCGATCTCCAGGCCTCGCGAGAGACCTTCCGTTTTCTCTCTCCCTACGCGCGAAAAGGCGAGACTTACCGTCATCGAGATTCTATGAGATGCGCGCAAAATGCGTATCGCGTACTCGGCGAACGTTGATAAACACTCGGCCGCACACGCTCGGCGAAACGCATCGCGCGATTCGCACGCAAGCGCGTACGGCTTTATTTGTAGGAACGTGTTACACTCAAGCCTGTTCTTTTTCAGCTCAACTGTTTGCGTAATTCATTCTTTCCCAGGATCTGAGAATGGATCGATATTAATGGATTAAAATATGGATTCAGATTTTCAGAAATACGGATTCATAAATGTTAAAATGAATTCTTTTCAATCCGAATACGTTTTTATTCATTTATAGGAATTGCATGGAGCATATATCTATGTATACCTTTCAATCAAAAAATAATATCAGCTTTTTCAGTGCGTTTTTGTGGCCATAGTGAATATATCATATTATATGGAATATATACTCAGGCCTGGATTAAGAGAGGAGGCTGGGGGGGGCTGTAGCCCCAGGCCTCACGGAAATAGGGCCCCCGTTACATTAAGAAAAAAATTTTTATTTTTTGATTAAAATTAAAATTATTCGAAATTATTGTTAATCTTAACAAAAATTAGTTCTTATTCCCTTAATATATAGTAATCTTTATGATTCAATTTTAATGTTTATTGTTTTGGATTAAATAATTTAATTATACTGCTTTACGTATAGACGTGATCATCGTTTTTAAAAAGATTGAAAAGAAGGGCCCCCTAAAGTTAAATAGCCCCGGGCCCCTCAACTCTTTAATCCGGGCCTGTATATACTGTATGTACAATTCGAAATTTTGAATAGGAAACGCAGTTTTTCAATCCAGTTGCATCCAATTGAATCTAATTGAATCCAATTGTATTAAAAAAAAAGTTTTCGCTGTTTAAAATACGAATTCGAATAGACAAAATCTAATCCATTTTAATCCATTTTCGGATGCTGTCTTCATTTCTTATGTTGGAGGGAAAAAGAGAAAGATAAACTATTACATATTCTTTTGACAACTGTCTTCTTATACACATATCACATCTGCGTTACATTACAATAAATTGGAGTTTGAGGAGAGAGAATTATTTTTGGAGCATCTGAAATTAACAATCATATGATGCGGATACAGCTTTATGAGATGGTTTTCTTTCCTTCAATTTACAATTTGACTAAGAGAGAACATTAACTTATTGACTTTATATTTTATAATTATTGTTTTAAATTGTTATATTTATATTTAATGTTTTGTATATATTATTGAGACTGAAGAGGACTACAGTAAGAGTCGAAACGTTTCGCTTTAAATTTTAAATTGTGAAATTATTACAATAAAGTTTGTCAACTGTTTTACATCGTTTGCTATTGTTTATAATACCGAAATTCAATATCTTAATTTGTCGTTATTATATATGAGAAGTTGGAGCTAAAAAACATAGATTTTTATTCCTAAGGATCACTTATAATTAATATTCCAAGAACACATTTCAAAACGTCTTTTCCGAGCCAAGGAAAATTGTACTCGAAATATATACAGTCCATATAACATATACTGTAGTATACCTATAGAGTAAAATTTTTCTCGGAGATGTTGGAGTGTAGCCTAAAACGTAAGTATGTGTGTGTATCTTCCCGAGGAAAATTTTACTCTATATAATTATATTGTGTACTGTATATATATTCAGTTTTCTCCTTGGAGAGGACGTTTTAGAACGTAATCTTAGTCTCGTTAGATTTATGCGACAAAATAAACCTCTTTTCTCAAGATACTCAAATAATCATATTTTTACCGCGCTGTTTATCGTGATCGGAATTTATGTTCCAGGCAAACAAAATTTGAACGTGCGAATTACTGTATTAATAAGATATATGACAGTCCAACAATTATATATAAAAGTTATATCGCAAAGATATTCCAATAAGAAATAACAACGAGACCTTTTCTAATAAGTGAAAATGGATTATAATGGATTGTAATGCGTATTTTAAACAACAAACCTTTCCTGGATTCAATTGGATTAAAAAACTTATGCATTTCCTATTCAAAATGAATTAAAATGTATTTACAAGGCATAAAAAAAAACTGATATTATTTTTAGGTTAAAAGGCATAGAAATGTGCTTCATGTAATTTATAAACGAATAAATGCACACATACATACATTCGGATTGCATTTGGAAAAGAATTCTACAATATATGTAAAAAAAAATCTGATTCTATATTTTAATCCATTTTAATCTATTCTCGTTTATTAAATTGAAATACATTGATTTTTTGAATCATTAATGTTAAAGGAAGATATTCGGTAAAAAGTATCCATAATTCAAAGGTATAATTATTATATATTATATATATATATGGCTTTAAAAAAAATTTATTCTAATCAAAAGATAACGATCATAATTGAAATACGTATTTTTAATTTCTTAATTTCAATTTTTTCAATTTTTAACTTTCAAAAAATCGCTAATATTATAACGAATATATAGGTTAAATTTAAATTTTGCGTCTTTATATAAAAGAAGGCTGGATCCACAACCTCGCTTTAAGAGGCCGTAAGCCGTAAAGCCATAAGAAATTGACCAATTCTCGCATTCAATCATAATTGAATGCGAGAAAAATAATTTTCTGTGATTGGTCAATTTCTTACGGCTTTACGGCCTCGGGCCTCTTAAAGCGAGGTTGTGGACCTAGCCTAATTTGAATGAAATAAGTTAATCAAATATAAATTCACTCAATAATTTAATTAATTAATTTAATATATATGTATAACTAATTTAAATAATATTCGTGCATTAATAATAATATACAAAAATAATATATTTCGAGGGCCAAGGGCTTTAAGGGCCGGTAAAAATAACAAGAACTTATTAGATGCGTCCAGAGCACGACCGCTCACTAAGCGCTCAATGAGCTTTTTTATCTGATTGGCATATTCCATTAGATCTAAAAATATAGACCAAACAGGAAGCTCACTGAGCGCTCAATGAGCTCTTGTACCTGTTTGGTTAATATTTTTAGATGTAATGGAATATGTCAATCAGATAAAAAAGCTCATTGAAGGCTTAAGCGGGGAGCACAGACTTTTGCATGACGCATAAAGCATGTGCATAAGGAATTTCATTGGTCCATTGACTCATGCATAAGAAAATGGGCCAATGAAATTCCTTATGCACATGCTTTATGTGTTATGCAAAAGTGTGTGTTGAGGCTCTTAGTCATAGTATAAGTAAATACAGTAGTTTCACTCCGTGTCGGTACCTTTGATCTATAGGCCTGTTCTTTTTGCCTGCACTGTCTGAACTGGTACATACAGTGCAATAAGTTGAAATGAAACAAACGTATATCTGTTTCACTTCAACTTATTGCACTCTGTGCACCAGTTCAGTAAAAAGAACAGGCCTTATGTGTCCTACAGTCAGCTATGTTGTTGGTTGTGCGAGGCCTTTGTTTTCACTGCACACATCGACACCACAGTGACACAGTATCCAGTTACGTGACATCGACGCCATGATGAAAGTGGTGCGATTCGCTCACCCATAAATTTTGGAGAGTGAAACTACTGTACTTACCTATACCCTCTCTGGCAGTATACACAGTATATACCTGTGTTAATTTCTAGTTATGCACCCAGCTGACCGAGCCGATGCCGATGCCGACCATGTCGTTATCGTTCCGCCATTCTTTTTTCCTACTATTGCATGGAACGCGGAAAGGCGGCACGGTATAGTGACAAGTTCACATTTGTATGCATATTCTTAAATGTATTAACTTATTTCTATGCACATTTTATCAATAATCTTATTTTTTCAACGAATCTGCTTAATAATTGCATTTAAATCTATTAATTTCATTAAAAAGTGCATAGTAACGTCAACTTGTCACTAGTCCGTGCCGCTTTTCGCGCAGTATTGGCTCCATGTAATAATAGGAGAAAATTAGCGCGGCTTACCGCGCGCGGTTCCTAGTTACTTTACCGCGTACGGCGTACCGCGATCCGCGCTGCATGTAAAATCAACCTGAAAGAGGCCATGGCGGCCTTTCTCGCGTGATAGGCACATATATGTAATACTACTATATGGCTAGATGAGAGAGAAGTCCATGTCCCAGAACCACGGTGCGGGAATATACTTCTCTCTCTCTTTCTCAGCGTACTTTGAACGTTGTGCGCATGTGTCGGATTCATCCCCTCCATCAATAATAAATAGAAGGATAAATATACATATATGTGTAAGGAAGAAGGAAAAAGTGATTGATTCCGCTTCAGGGTATAACCTTGTTACAGTTAACAGAGGCTGCTTTCCAGCTACGACACAAATAGATACTATGTAACACAGTGAATCATTGCATCCTTGTTGTTCGCCTACGTTAAACGAGGATGAAACGATTCTCTGTGTTACACAGTGTCTGATTCTGTCCTTGCTGGAAAGCACTCAGAGTCAGTCAAAACGCATATACACGAAATATGCACGCTTTTATATAGTGAGCGTCACGTATACTATAGGGGAATGCGCACATATCCGCTTTGCGGAAAACAGAAGAGCACTCCCACGCCTCAGATTTGCTATTACCCACGGAATAATAAGAAGGAGATCAAGCTCGAGAATAAATATGGGCTCGAAACACGGTTTCGGAAAACCCCATGAAAAATCAAGAAGATATGATTTTAGCGCCATCGTGGGAAAAGTTGGAAGTATTGACTGTTACAACAGCACACATCTAATAAGCATAACGAGCATAACCTGTTCGCGTCATCTCACTGATCGCACTCTATTTTCCTATTGGCGGATGCAATCAATCCAACGCATGCGCACAACACTCAAAGTACTCTTAGAAAGAGAGGGAAATATATATTCCCGCACCGTGGTTCTGGGACCGCTTCCTCTCACTCCCTCTTATAGGCACTAGCCATATAGTAGTAATACATATATGGATAGGCAAAAGCCACCGTACGCTGGCGGCACCAACATCATTTTTATAAAATGATGTGAACTACGTATCACATTTTCGACAATGTCGATAAAATCGTAGTGTCGATATATGGATTTGGTGCTAAAGCCACAAATATAATATTAATTTACAAAAAAATGTTTTTTTTAATCGGATAAGGCGTTTCTTATAGATTTTTGGACGCTAGAAAACAAACAAAGCCCGCTCTCTCGCTATGTCCGTCTTTTTCGTTTGGCAGCTTTCAACGCCAGGCACGGCGAACCAAGTGAGCGAGATAGCGAGACGTTCGTCCTTGACACTTTAAGGCTGGAGTCCCATGAGGCGTATTTGCCGCGTATCGCGTAACCGCGTAACCAATCAAAAGTGATAAAACGCGAAATCACAACAGCAAGTCATTTTTTATCACTTTTGATTGGTTACGCAGTTACGCGATACGCGGCAAATACGCCTCATGGGACTCCAGCCTAATAGCTTGCTTCAAGCGACCGCAAATGCTTTCTCAGCGATCCCGGTTGCTCGGCCTATATCAATATAAGAGACAAAAGCACATTCTAGATAACATATTAGTTTTAATAAATTTTAGTAATCATACACTATTACGAAAAATATAATAAACATAGGGTGGACAAACGAAAATAATGGGTGGACAAACGTGGACAAACGGTGGACAAACGAACGCAATAATGATTTTACCAATATTCGCATTTAAGGTGCCAACTTCACAAAGCAGCTCTGTGATGTTGAAATCTCTAAATGCAAATATTGGTAAAATCATTATTGCATTCGTTTGTCCACTGTTTGTCCACGTCTGTTCACCCATTATTTTCGTTTGTCCACCATCCACAAAAAAGTTATGCACAAAAAAATTATAACACCCCCAAGTGATTATATTTTACACTATTACGAAAAGTATAATAAACATAGGGTGGACAAAGGAAAATAATGGGTGGACAAACGTGGACAAACAGTGGACAAACGAACGCAATAATGATTTTACCAATATTCGCATTTAAGGTGCCAACTTCACAAAGCAGCTCTGTGATGTTGAAATCTCTAAATGCAAATATTGGTAAAATCATTATTGCATTCGTTTGTCCACTGTTTGTCCACGTCTGTTCACCCATTATTTTCGTTTGTCCACCATCCACAAAAAAGTTATGCACAAAAAAATTGTAACACCCCCAAGTGATTATATTACACTATTACGAAAAGTATAATAATCATAGGGTGGACAAAGGAAAATAATGGATGGACAAACGTGGACAAACAGTGGACAAACGAATGCAATAATGATTTTACCAATATTCGCATTTAAGGTGCCAACTTCACAAAGCAGCTCTGTGAAGTTGAAATCTCTAAATGCGAATATTGGTAAAATCATTATTGCATTCGTTTGTCCACCCTATGTTTATTATATTTTTCGTAATAGTGTATGATTACTAAAATTTATTAAAACTAATATGTTATCTAGAATGTGCTTTTGTCTCTTATATTGATATAGGCCGAGCAACCGAGATCGCTGAGAAAGCATTTGCGGTCGCTTGAAGCAAGCTATTAGAGCGACAAGGAGCTGCGTTCGGCAATGCAAATCCGAGGCGTCGGAGTGCTCTTTTTCTATAGTGCACGTGACATATACTATAATATAAGAGCACTCCGACGCCTCAGATTTGCTATTACCGAACGCAGCTAATAGATACTTCAAAAGGCTGCCGCAACACACCTTCCGTAAGGCTGGGTCCACAACCTCGCTTTAAGGCCCGATTGTACCAACGTGATTTCGATTTTAAGCGAGACTCAAACTGTCTCTGTCTCTATCTCTCTTTCGGCTTTAATACAAGATAGATAGAGTTTTAAGTGGAGCTTAAAATCAAATAATGTTGGTGCAACCGGGCCTAAGAGGCCCTAAGCCGTAAAGCCGTAAGAAATTGACCAATCACAGTCGATTATTTTTTTCGTATTCAACTATGATTAGTCAATTTCTTATGGCTTTACAACTTAGGGCCAAACTTAGGGGTTATCCGGGTCTAGAAGGCAAAAAGAAGGCCTATTTTCGTGAATTTTTTTAAAAGATCCTACGATAATTTTATAATTTTCGTTTATTGGATATTAAAATATAATGTTTGAACTACACTGTGTAAAATTTTGAACGAAAAATATTGAAAAATGAGCCGTTGAGAAATGCTTAATGTTGACCACGCCAAAAAAAGTGTCCTTGCGGTAGTTACATTATCTCCGTCAATTTTCATCTGAAATCAAAAACTCAAAGTTTTTCTGTTAGTGTATGCGTATGGCTTGTCTTTGAACGAAGGATTCTTTTTTTAATTAAAAATTGAATTTTTTGTAGCGTTTTTAATAAAAAGTGTCATTTATTGCATAAATTTTGGCCATATTTTGGCTTATAAAATGAGTTGTAATTGCAGATAAAAAAAATCCTTCGTTCAACGACAACAAAAACATGTCTAAAAGCAGTGTGCAAAAGCAGAAGTCGATCGGTGCAATAGTTTTTGAGAAAAAGTAACTACTGACGTGGTTTTGAAAAAAACGCGTTTAAAGTAAGTTTTTACTTACATGGAATCATCGATTCCAGGCCCATAAAGGGAAGATTCCGCTGCAGCTGCAAGGTCCAATGCATCTTTTTGGTCTTGCCGAAGCTTCATTCTTGCTTCTCGAGTCTGAGCCTCCGCTTTTTTCTCGGCCGCGAGAATGCGATGATTGTCCTCATTACGCGCATATTCGTGACTGACAGGTCCGAGTTTTACATCCATCGCATGAAGAAACATAAGGAGAGCAGAGATTCCTTCATTGAATGTGCAGGAAGCAACATACGCTGCAATTTCGACGGTTTTCGCACCAGCAGGAGCTATTTTTGGAGTGATCTTCCAAATAAGCTGGTTCATGCTTTTATTGTTGTTTTGCGTGAAGCCGCCCAGGCACCGTTCTAAAAGCGTTTCCTTGCTGAGGTCTTCATAAATAGGCTTTATGGATGATAAAATATCACTTGATAATGGGGCATAGTCGTGCTTGAACGATAACAAAGAATTTGTAGCTGAAGCACGTTGCCAAGCGGACCATGAATTAGCTCCGCCCGGGCATTTTTCATGCTGAGGATTTTCGTCCGTTGATGCATAATGATAGTACGTTGCCCATATAGCGTTTTTCATATCTTCCACTGAATTACTATGTCTTCTTATTGCTAGTCCATAGTATTGTTACGTCTAGGCGGAATTTCTCGAATATGAATCATGGAAACGCGATATTAAAAAGAATATCCTGGGCTCTTAGTATTCGAACGCAAAGAGAGGGAAGGGACAATTAAGAATCAAACGCTGAAATAAGATCTAAATCATCACATGATATGCAGTATATTTAATTTAATAAATCAAAATCATAATAATGTGTTAAATCATTCTACGCTTGCAGTAAATGAAAATTGAAGAGAACAGTTGAAATGATAAAAGGACATAATAATAATAAAAAGGGAAAGAAATAAAACTAGTGATTAAAATTAGTTTACGTAGTATGGCTTAATAATTTGAATGCCTTGTATAGAAGGTCTGGCAACTGGCCAAATTTCCAGTAACAAAATATTTTATGCTTTTGAAAACATTTTACATAAACAGGAAATCGAGAATTACATGAAATTGAAAAGAACTGTAAGCGATAATTTTAATTTTAATAACATGAACGCAAACAAAAGATAGACAAAGAACTAAAATATAAACCATAAAAATATTATAATAATTAAGACTTAAGGTTAAAGAAATGCGCAATAATCACAACAGCTTCGTAATTAAAGACATGTTAAGAATGTTTAAGACGATCTGAGGTGTGTAGTTAAGAATTACATTCAAGCTGTCACTATTTACGGATATTGAAATTTGAATTGATTACAGATAAAATATAAAGTTACAATGATATGTGACTGTAATGTTTCGGTGTAGGCGTTGTGATTCTTGCTGCTTATAAAACATTCATATAATAATCATACTGATGCGCAGGGTGGAATATAATAAGTCTTTAGCATTACTGTCAAGCGGAATTCGTAATTAGTTTTATGTTTTTTCGATTTAATCACCGCATACTAAATAAATTCTGTTTGCTTTTTAACTTTTATAATAACTTTATTATTTTCAATTATGTGACTGGATGAAGGAAAAGATCTCCGTAATTTCTCAAATGTAAACGATTCAAAGTAATTTACGATTGATTCCTCTTTGTGTAATCTAACCTTTTAGAAGGAAAGGAAAAGAAAAGACGCTACGTTAGCTATTGTTTAGCAGTTATATCGAGGCTGTGAATAGTTACCGTGATGTTGACAATCGCTGAATTTTTACCGTGACTGACGGGGTGGCTGAAGTTCACCCGTCTGCTCGCCTCGCCTGTTTGCTTTCTACTTATTGCAGTTGTAATCGGGATCTCTCCTCGTCCGAGCACAGGATTCATGGGTAGTCAGTAGGATTTTGATTGCGGCAGCTCCGGATTGAGTCGGCTCATTACACTGATTTTAAGAACGATGCACGCTTCGCGAGACTTACTTATATTTGTTTTATATTCTTCTAAACTTAATGAAAATATTAAAGATTGTTATCGTACGCTTCGCGACGTCAAGAAATATTTATGAAGTTTGTGAATCCGGAGGTGACCGTTTCATCTGCGAGTCAAGGGACGACTGACTTCTTTGTGACTGCTAGAGATGCACACAGCATACTTGCGTTATCAGCTTAACGCTGAGGTGGGGCCCTATAGTTACGCGCGAGTCGATGTAAGGTAAGAGGAAAGGGGGAATCGCGCGAGACGCTCGTCCTGCAGAGCCGTGTAGTACACAATGGTCACGAAATATTTCTTATGTGTGTCACCACCACGTTCGGTGTTATCTGGGTGCAGTCACTAGGTTCAACTAACTTCCTGTTTTTTAGTAGGCTATTACTATTGTACATTAAAAATCTGAGCGCTGGTCGCTTCGCAGGAAACTTAATAAATCTATCTTAATTCTAACGCATGGTCTTATTCTAAGCAGATAAGCGCGTGAGATAGCGGGCGGTGACCAAATTCAGCTAATTGCTGATTATAGCACTACATTTGAATATGCTTTTACGATCGCGCTTTTTACTGGGATAAAAGTTTTGTAATTGACGGTTCGAACGGCTGCGGCTGCTGACGCAGTTTCTCGCAGGTATCAAAATATCAGCTCGAGCGAGCGTGAGAGCGTCCGGTCTACAGTCCGTTATTTCGATATGCGCACTGCATCAACATTTCGTTACTTAACAAACTCGCCAACAAAGAGCTACGACTATGTTTAAAGAATTAGAATTATGTCTTATATTTACGCATAGAATATAGAAAAAGGAAAAAGAGAACATACATCAGCGGCTAGTTGCACAGCGTAGCGAGACAAGGCGACACGCGAAATTTACGTGGTCGTCACAGTATACTGTCAACTTGTCAATTAGTTTTGCTGTAAGTTTTCCTTCTCCAGAAAGAATTTTTTTCATAATTTTTTTCCCGTTAACAATTATTTCTTGGACAGTTTTTTTTACTAATTCGCGTAAACGGGTACCCATTCTCTTCTGAACGTGCCCTACACATTCTTTTTTTGTTATCACAACATCTTCACCATAAGGTTTTGAATTCACAACTTTAGTAAAAGTTTTAGAGTCTCCGTCACCAATGTAGCTTGTGTATCTTAGGCCGTATTTTTTCAAAGATCGTAGAAACATTTCAAGAATCGATGATGCTTCCATGTTACCCGCTGCTCCTTGGTGATTTGCACTGCATTCATTATTTTCTACATGCTTCGTATGCCATTCGTAATATTCTTCCGTCGTTAGTTTTTTTTTTCCAACTTTTGCATGATTTACAATACGAACTTTTTACGAACACATCCAAAACTTTGCCGGAATAATATCCAATCAATGTTGACACACCGTATAACGACGCAAATCCGCGACGTTTCCATGTGCCATCGCCGGATACAGTAACGTCTGTGGTATCTGTCAAGTCATTTTCCTTGCACGTTTGTTTTTTTTCTTCTTCAGCAGCTAGGGAGAAAAGCTTCTCGGCAACAATCTTTACGCATTCGTGTATTTTCGTTACATAGAAGTCGTACGATGATTTATGTAAGAAAGAAGAAGCTATATCCATCAAACCACAAAATTTGTCACACCCGACTAAACCTAATCCTAAGATCCTCATGACAAAAATAAATCTGCGATTTATTGCATACGCTTGACCAATTTGTTCAGATGATAAAATATATCGAGGATTACAGTTTTCACACTCAAGCATGATTTTAAAACCGAGACCAAATTGTGAACATTGTTTAAATACAACTTTTCCGCCACACACTTTATTATTCACAACGTTTTAGAGCACTGCACAAAAGTCGACAAAGTTGAAAACACTAATAAAAAATCTATAATTGCATACTGTACATTACTATTTACTGGCACTTCAATTTCTTCTCGACTCTTCAGTTTTTTTGCCGATGTGCTTGAGAAAAATGTTTCGTTACTTTCGGGTGTTTTCGGATTAAATACTTGTTTCCGTTTTTTCGGCTTATCTTTTCAATTAGCATGTGTTTGCTTCTCTCTCGGAATTTTTTTTCGATTCATTTTACCAAAAAAAAGTAATCACAAATCGCAGCGCAACCGTATAAACGCTCGGCTCAGCAAGCAACGCTAAACTACGGCAACGTACGAAATTTTTCCACTTCTAACGGTCAAATCGTGTTTCAACATGTATCTTAAACACGTCCCTCGAATACTCGGAAAAGGTACGGACACAAAAGGGTCGCCGTTTACCTGCTTCTGCGTGCCGCAGATGTTCGGCGGCCGAGGTCGAATTTCCGGTTATGACGCATTCGACACGCTGCGCTTTAAATTTCTCCCATTCCTACAGTTTTGCTCCGATCGACTTGTAATTTTCGAACAATATTCCTGACACTTTGTACTATTATATAAAAAAGTTTGAAAAAAATGAATTTTTTGAAGTGTCAAGACCCGGATAACCCTTAAAGCGAGGTTGTGGACCCAGCCTAACAGTAACCATAAGACGTACTGTAAGAATTAGCCAATCACAGTCGAAAATTCTTTTGAACTCTTAAGCGGGGAGCACAGATTTTTGCATAACGCATAAAGCATGTGCATAAGGAATTTCATTGGTCCATTTTCTTATGCATGAGTCAGTGGACCAATCAAATTCTTTATATATATGGTTTATGCGTTATGCAAAAGTCTGTGCTCCCCGCTTTAATTTTGATTGGCTGATTCTTACGGTATGTCTTAAGGTACTTTTTCATGCGCAGCACGCTGCAGCAGCAATTCGTTACTATTGGTTAAGAATTTTATGTAAGCTAGATGACGTACTTCCGGCGCAAATACATTTTGCCGCAGTTCGTTGAAGTTGAACCGAACGAACAGCAAGCAGCAAGTGGCAAAATCGAGAAAGCGTACAATATGTCCGTCGTTTCATTATAAAAATATTATTTATTGCAATAAATATTAGGAAAATAAACGAAAAATGGCTTCGGATAAGGTACGGATACATGTTTGTAAATTAGATCATTTTATACTTTACCACAAATTTGAAAAAGTAAAGTGTAAAGTATAAAATGATCTAATTTACAAACATTCGTACCTTATCCGAAGCCATTCTTCGTTAATTTTCCTAATATTTATTGCAATAAATAATATTACCTCGATTTTGCCGCTTGCTGCTTGCTGTTCGTTCGGTTCAACTTCAACGAACTGCGGCAAAATGTATTTTGCGCCGGAAGTGCGTCATCTAGCTTACATAAAATTCTTAACCAATAGTAACGAATTGCTGCTGCAGCGTGCTGCGCATGAAAAAGCACCTTTATGGTTACTGTTACGCATGAAGGAAGATATAAGGAGACTGCACTCGGTCTCGCCAGTCTACAAGACATGAACCCATTTTAGGTTT